TATGACGGCTGTGTACCCCTTTTATCCCACGTGTCAATTAGCTGTTGGATAGAGTGTAACAATGCAAGTGAAGAGGAAGAAGAATTCAACTCACCGCCCAAGCCCCTCGTAGGCAACGGTGCTGCTCCTTGGGGTCCCACCGGGTCACACTGCACTGACACTTCCTCTCTCCCGCCAACCGGGGTGTCCACCCGATGCCTGGAATAGCCGGAACATGATCCACTGTCAGACCTGGAACAAGAAGAAGAAAGCCTGGGCCGGTTGTACTGTTCCTTGTTAGCCTTCCCCGGGTATGCCCGGGCACGCCACGGCCTCCTCCTGGTGTTTCGCCCCCGATCCTGGCCCTGCCAGCTGTCAGGAGCCCCAGAGGCCCCACTGGCCTCACCCCTGGGACTCCTGCTCCGCTCCCGTCTGCGCATGGGTCCACGCCTCGGGGCCACAGAGTGCTCCCCCGAGGAACCGCTGGCATCAGGAGCCGCCCATGCAGCAATACCGACACCTCTAGGGGGACATGACTCTGGCCTTGATGCGACCTGCCCAGCACCGGCATCCGGGCCTGACCCACGCCTACGGCCTGCGCCAGGGGATCTGCGACTCCGCGACCTGCCCTGAGCCTTGCGCAAGTCCGCTGGGTATTGACGCCCTTCGTCCCTATGGCTCCTGACCGAAGTGCGACCCTTCTGTCCCGCCTGCTTGCGACGACTCCTGCTGGTGGTCCCTTCGCCCTCCAAAGTGCGACTTGCCAGACCCACCTGACAGTGCTGCGCCCTGTCTGATCTTGCCATGCCCCCCAGAGCCCTGGGGGTACTTCCCTGGTCCCCGCGTGCACTCCTAACCTTGACCCCCCTGTGGGAAGGCCCGGCTGCACCCACAAGGCCCTGTGGCCCTAACAGGCCATGCGCTGGCGATGGGGTATGCATATAGCCATCCCCAGCGGCACCCTGCGCTCCTACCGGATCCCCTGCGATGCTGACTGCACTGGCCCCAGGCCAGTGAGGGGGGAAAGCCCTGGCAGGCCTGCTATGCCCCCCCAGAAGCACCCCTTTCGACCCTGCGCAAGAACCACCACTTGCCTGCATAAGGTTGGACCCTCCCAGGGCCTGGTCCCGGCCTGAGCCTGCTCCGGTCTGTTCCCGATCATGGCCTCCAGGGGGCACCTGCGCACCAAGGTCCCCCGGTTCCATCACTCCTCCTAGGCCAACCCCGCCGACCGCAGGGGCCTGCGATCCGAGCACAGCTCCCCCAGTTTCCAGGGCCGCGCTGTTTGGCAGTGATGAGCCTGCCACCAACCGCCAGCGGATGCCGGTAAATCCTGCGCACCATCACCTGCACCGGCACCCGCTAGGCCGACCGCGTCCACACCCGACCCGGTCCCAGCACTCCCCGCATCCACGGAACCCGGGCTCAAACATTGCGGCGGTCTCCTCCACCGCACCGGACACCGGCCCCCGCGGCCATCTTGACCCGCCGCCTCCAGCACTGCACCGAGTTGCTCACGCAGCCAGTCAGTCCCTCTGTCCCTGGCAGCATCCTAGATCCCTGCCATCAGCTCCTCCAGTGTCTGCTCAGCCATGTGCAAAAGAAAAAACAAACTTACCAGGCCCAGATACAAAAGCACCAATTCAGCCCGGTAAGTCAAATAGTAATGAGGAGTTATAAAATGGCCGACATTTATGCCCAGAATCCTGATCTGTCAATCACCAACCCCTGCTCCACCTAAGCCCACCTCCAAGTTCTGTCAAGGCCCCCTCTGCTAAGCTGCGCTTTCTTCTTGGGTCTACAGTACTTCCTGAACAGTTAGGAAGATCGCTTGGCAACTTAGCTCAAACCAGCTTTGGAGCATAAAAGTTAAAGAATCACATGGGGGAGGTTATAGTAATAGTCCCTGTGGTTCTCAGGCCACAGGTGACCGGCATAAACAAGTTCTGTCTCTGCACCACTGACCTACTGGCTGTGATTTAAACATATTCTGTTCTAATAAATATAAGTAATTTTTGTAGTAGAGCAATACTGTGTATTTAACCAATCGTCTTTTTTTTATATTGTGGAATGGATATTGGTCTTTGTTGCTTTTGTCTGAGAAGTTGCCCCTTTCTGTTTGAGCGTCTTCATCTCAGCGCTACCCCATCCACTCTAAGGACCTCCCTCGTATATACCTAGGTTTATGTTAGAATCAGGCCAAGCCAGACAATCTTTATATGTGATTTAACAAAAAGTACAAAAAGATGACGGTTGTCCTTTAATGTTTTTTAACAAGTTTCCTTGTTGGTATTTATTACAGAACATTCTGTTTAGCAGTTTTATCTCGGTTCATCTAAGTTCCGCATCTTTTCAATTAAAAGTGAACTGTCTGGTCTGTATTATTGAAAGTGAATAGGTCAGCTCTTTATCACATTGTCACCATTTATTTGTTGGCTCTGTATAATTAGATTTGACATGTGAGTGGAACAGGATGTAAAGTGATCGCCTGTATTGAGCAAACATATGTTATGAGCTCATTGATAACTACAAATAAATCAGGTATTTCCAAATACATATCTATTTTAGAGGTAAACATATTTTGCCAATCCAGCAGAGGAAAGGTTAACACAGGGGATATGAACTCACAGTGACTGAGCCTATGAGTTGCAGTGTATTGTCATAGGGGAGGAGGGAGCGGCATGAAGGTGATATAGGGATCAGATTCTAGACGTGAGGTCTATACAAGCAGTATTGCCAATGTAGAAATGCCAAGGCAGACTAGCCACAATCTCATCGGTGGGAGCATGGGATTGGATGCAATGTGGGTCATGTTGGAGTCAGCATACTACTTGGCACTAGGAGGAGTAAGTGGTCGGATGTGAATCAGTGGTTCTGCATTTTGAGTATACAAACTGGAGGTGATGTGAATGCTGACAGTATAAGTGTATAACATATCTCCCAAAAGCCTCAGATCAGAGAGACAATCCTGTACTTAGGCTCCTGTCCTGCTGTCCTTGGTTTGATCTGATGTTGTGCTGCTAAAGACAAGTCATTAGACTTTCTTGTACTGTGCAAACTAAACTCAGGGCTTTCACTTCCTCCTAAGCAACAGACATGAGTGGAATTTGTGTGTTGTGACCATGTGATTGTGCAAGGATTGCTTCAGTGTGATTGTATGTGCAGCTTTACTGATTGTGATTGTGGTGAGTGGGATAGTAGGTGTGGAGTGAGATGGATTGAATGTCATTGTGTGCAAGGGCTGTCTGAGTGTAATTATGTGTGGGGATTTGCCAAATGTGATTTTAGTGTGGGGATTGGCTGAGTTTGATTGAATGTGGGTGCTATGTGCATAATAATAATATTAATGTTGAATTTAAGTTGTCAGGCTTCCTGCCTGCTTAACTCCTGCCGGAGCTCCGGGTGCCGCGATCCCCGCCGGTGTTCCTTCTGATATGTGTTTAAGTATGCGCCAGAATGAACTAACGGATTTGGCGTTCGCCAAACTGAACACAGAATTCGGTAGACCGCATAAAAATTACGTCAAAGATCAGATTAGGAAGGTCAAGTACCTTCCACGAATAGTGGTTGTGATAGATCACCCAGTCCATGGATTGTAAATCCTTTTTTTGGTTGCATTTGACTATGTGTTTGGCACATTTCATTATCCTCTATTTTATTCTTCTTTTCTTTCCCTTACCGAATAAACTACCGAATGCCTGGACCACCCGTTTATTCCCTTGTTAACACTTCTAAACCAGCAGTCGGCTGGGTGGTCGCCATTAGAACACACCGCTAACAACATCCCTTCCTTTAAAGGACCACTATAGTGCCAGGAAAACAAACTTGTTTTTCTGGCACTATGTGGTCCTTAGGTACCTCCCACCCTCATTAACCCCCCACCCCCCGCTGGGCTGAAGGAGTTAAAACCCCTTCAGTCACTTACCTTTCTCCAGTGCCGGGTTTTCTCGGCGCTGGTGACCTCCTGCCAACGACAGCGCCGAATGCGCTTGCGTGCCAAGAGCGGCACACGCATTCAAACCGCCCATGGGAAAGATACTCAATGCCCATAGGAAAGATACTCAAGATTACTCCATGCTTTCCTATGGACGTCAGCGTCTTCTCACTGTGATTTTCACAGTGAGAATTGCGGAAGTGCCTCTAGTGGCTGTCAGTGAGACAAGAGGCTGGATTAGCCCTCAGTGAAACATAGCAGTTTCTCCGAAACTGCTATGTTTTCAGCTGCAGGGTTAAAAGAGTGACCTGGCACCCAGACCACTTCATTGAGCTGAAGTGATCTTAGTGCCTATAGTGGTTCTTTAACTGTATGTATCTGCATGCAGTGGCGTACATACTGCGGTCACAGGGGTCGCAGCCCTGCGACCCCTGCGACCAGGTGCCCGCCGCCATGTATAGCGGCCCCGGTCCGCGCAGAGTAAGCGTGGGGGGGCCCACGGATCAATTTTCGCACCAGGCCCATGGATCGTGTGTACGCCACTGCTTCAGAGACACATTAACCACTGCCTCACCAACAGCCACTGCAGCACTGTGTTTTCTGGAACTCAGTGGCGTCGCTAGGGGGGGGCCAGAGGGGCCATGGCCCCCCTCTCCATCATGCTGTGCCCCCCCCTTGGGCCCCCCCAAATGCCGGCAACTTGCTTGCCATGTTCTTCCCTCAGACTGTAACAGCCTGTTACAGCCCAAGGGAATGCAGGACTGAGGTTCTGGGGCTGGAGGGAGCACTAAAAGGCTCCCCGGCACAGGCCCTGCCCCCAAATGAAGCCCCGCCTCCCACACATAAGCCCTGCCCCGCCGTAAAGCAGCAGAACATGCTGCTGCAGAAGATGGCTGCCTGACTAAACTCCCAGCAACATCCTCCAGTAACAGGTAGGCTGTCACTGCCCCCATACAGCCCCCCATAATGCCCCCCTTATACACACAC